GTGGGGGGTGGAGAAGATCACGGCGATATGCACTGACTCTTTCGCCGGGAACACGAGTGCTGCGAGGATGTTGAGGGAGGACCCCGAGTTCGCGCAAATCTATTGGATCCCTTGCACGGCGCATTGCATGGACCTCCTGATGCACAATATAGGTAAGAAGGAGTGGGCGGATGACATCATCACCAAGGCCAACAAAATAGTGAACTTCTTCCGGGTTCACAGGTGGCCTCGGTCGGAGTTGAGAACGCAACTGTTGAAGTACACTGACTTGAAATGCACCTGCCTCCTTCGGCCTGCTCAGACAAGGTTTGGGACGAACTATGTGATGCTGCAGCGACTCGAGGTGTGCGAGAGGGCCATCGTGCGTATCGTGACCGGACACGGTTGGGAGACCATGTTGTGGCAAGGGGATATTAGGGCAAAGGCCTACTTTGTGGAGGAGACAATTCTTGACAAAGCATTATGGACTGATGTCAAGAAGCTGACTGCCGTCATGAAGGGGCCTTATAATGTGTTGCGAGAGGTGGACAAAGATGTCCACTACTTGTCACGAATCTATGATATGGCGTGTCGGCTGCCTGGCTTCGTTCGCTCGGCCCCCCTCTCTGCGGACGAGCGAGATGACCTTCTCAGGGATGTCGGCAACAGGACGAACATGCTGCTCAGCCCCATCCATGCCGTTGCACGTCTGCTGGATCCTATGTTGAGGGACATTACCGTTTTTCAGTAATGTCAACCTCATGGCACAGTTCGAGAGCGTTGTGAAACGGCTGATCGGAAAGCGTGGGAGCTCGAGATTTGACGACTGCATGGACCAGTTGTATGAGTTCCAGTTTGGGAGAGGAGTCTTCGGCACCCCAGAGGGAAAGAAACGGGCTGAGAAGGACAATGCGGTGCTATGGTGGGAGGCGCATGGTGCAAGGCATCCAGAGATCCGAGGGATGGCGCTGAAGGTGCTCTCCATCTGGACGACTTCCTCTTCGGCTGAGAGGAACTGGAGCACTTGGGCTCTCGTGCAGACGAAATCGAGGAACAAGTTGCACCACCAGCGCACAGAGAAATCGGTGGCCTCGCACTGGAGCTTGAGGCAGTAAGGGGCAGGATGGGGCCACTGTTGCAGGATGGTGGTTGGGGCTCGCAGCCGACTGGGAGGACGAGGACTTGGAGGGTGACATGGCAAATGTCACAGAGGCAGTTGATGACATTGAGGTAGCTGGTGAGGGCACTGCTTCTGCGGTTGGCAGCAGAAACATTCGCCCCGATCCCACAGCGCCGTCCACTTCTAGATCGGTGCAGAGGTTGGTGGAGGTGGAGGAGGAGGAGGAGGAGGAGGAGGAGGCCGATGAGGACGATGACGATGATATCCCCGATGAGGAGTGGGTAGACGAGAGATCGGACTCAGAAAGATCGTGGACGAGGAGAGAGGGCATGATCCCCTATGTTGAAGGCACACCTAGATTGAGGTCCCAGATGCGGGCGCGGCCAGAGGCTCAGCAAAGGGAGCTGCAACAGGAGCAACAGCAGCAGGAGCAGGTTGAGCAGCAGCAGGAGCAGGTTGAGCAGCAGCCGGAGCGGGTTGTGCAGCAGGAGCAGCAGCAGGAGCAGCAACAAGAGCAGCAACGCGGGCAAGGGGATGAGGAGCAGCAGTAGCAGGGAGGGGATGAGGAGCAGCAGCTGCATGAGACGGATGAGGAGCAGCCGCAGCAGAGGGAGAAGGAGCAGCAGCAGCAGAGGGTGGATTCCGCAGTCCAGCAGGAGACCGCAGTGCGGTCGTCCAGAGATGTGCGCGAGGAGGGTGATACAGAGGGCGAGCAGGGTCACAGCGCGGTGCGAGGATTTTACGGTTCTTCTCACCGGTCGCCTCTCGTTGGGCGACATGGAGCACATCCCAACCGTGTGTGGGATCCCCTCGCTTATCGTGCTCCGCGAGGACGAGGGAGGGCGGCTGCTGGACTTGGGAGAGGGCGGACTCATGTGGTTGCTCAAGGCACCAATGGGGTTGCACGAGGCTCAGGGCATCCGAGAGGGCGGACACGAAAAGAGAAACCACCGGAAGCGGCAGCAACAGCAGGAGCAGCAGCAGCAGCAACAGAAGCACCACCAGCAGAGGAGTCAGATGATGACTCCCATGAGAGTGCACCATTGCAAAGGAAGAAGAGGAGGACGGAGCCTGTTGTGGAGGCAGAGACACAAGGCGAGAGTCACTCTGAGAGAGAGAGAGAGAGAGAGAGAGAGAGAGAGAGAGAGAGACCCCATTGTGTTTCACGTTCATGCTCCCATAGTGCTTCATGTTCCCATTGGCGAAACTGTTTCGTTGTCGGGCTGTCCGAACTCAAGGGCTTTCATTGTCTGTTAGAGGGGTTGCTTCAGTGACTGTTGTTTCAATTCGAATCTGCTCATCTTGGTGGAGTGGGGGCTGTGTGTGTGTGTGTGTGTGTGTGTGTGTGTGTGTCTGTCTATGTGTGTGCCCCCGTGTGTGTGTGTGTGTGTGTGTGTGTGT